GTTCCCTCGAACCAACATATCCTCTCTCTCTCTCTCTCTCTCTCTCTCTTTTTCTCATCCTGAGCGCAGCTCCACCAAACTCCCTTCCATCCTCGCATCATACAGAAAATTCTACTTCCCATCTCTATACATGCTTTGCTGCACACATAAGTGCAAATCTTGGGTGCGCCATGAATCCCATGGAGTGCACAACAGTGCCACAGCAGCCGACGAGGCCTGCCATGCACGACTGCTCGCGCGAGAGCAAAAGGCTGAAGCCGGAGATAAGAGTAGTGCACGTAAATTCACCGGAGATCATCAAGACAGATGCAGCAAACTTCCGTGAGCTCGTACAAAGGCTCACCGGGAAGCCGACCATAGGAATCGGTAAAAAGAAGAAGAAGAAGAAGAAGAAAAGGAAAACACTTTGCATGACAGCCCAGGGAGAGGTGGCTCCGAGGTGCAAACCAGTCGAGGTTATGGGAGGACAGAAGGAGAAGCACGAGGAGTATGGGTGTGGGGAAGGAGCAAAGAGAGGCTCGGAGGTGGAAGAGACGAGAGAATTGTGGGTGGAGAAGAATTCGGGTTGTTTCTCTGGTAAGTTTGGGGAGATGGATAGTTTTCTCCAAGAGCTGAGTGATGTTCCACTGCCTCCATGGTGTTCTCCTCGAGTGGAAGTGGTAGGAGAAGGCACCTGCTTCCTACCAGAAGAAATAGGAGATTAATCAGGAGGAGGTGTGTGTCCAGGGTTCTATGAGCCCTCCTCTTATTCCTCTGTTCTATTCTCCTTATTTGGAAGCCGGAATTTGCAGCTTTGATATAAAGTCAAGGGAAATTTATTATGATGCATTGAACATTTGGCAATTTTATCAAGAGAAAAAGTTAAATAGTTCTCAGAAATTACCCAAAGGAGATGGTATTATAATAATAAAGTAAGTAGCCTATGAAGAATAGAGACGAAGACAAAAAAAAAAAGAATGTTATTTATTCTTGCTTCTGACTATATTTAATTTTCACAAAGGAGAAGGAGAAATGGATGAAAATTATGCTGTTGTGACTAGTATTATTCAAAAGGTGGTTTTGATGCATCCCCCCTGGGTAAAATCGATGTACGAAAATTATTATTATTATTATTATTATTATTATTATTATTATTATTTTACTGACAACATGAAGAGAATTCATTCATGCTTGTTTAATCTAATCTCGGTTGGAGTTAATACTGCTGGCGATGTAGCAACATCCACATACATTGGCTGCTTTGCATGGCTCCTTATGCTCCCACAAAGTCTTTGTGTTTGTTTTTTGTATGCATTTTCTTGCATCCCCCCTTCTTCAACTTTATGATTTTGAAGTCATCAACATGGAGGAAGAAAAATTGAAGAGAACTTTTGTCTGAATGATGCACCTGTTGTTGTGTTCACAGGCCTTACGTATCTGACGCAAATAGACAATATATAATCTCCAAATGCCAATGAACAAAAGTCCAGTTGCCCAAAGTAGTGGGTTAACACTCGATCCCTTTCTCCATAGAGTGAGAGCTCATTCTGCCAAATAACAGTCAAGTTCTTGAAATTATATTAATGTAGGAAGATGGATCCCGGAGATTACGAAATGCTTTTGCATCATCTAAAAGACAAAATTGAACCAGCAACCAAAACACAAAAAAAAGAATCTAAGAGATTACTTCGTCCTACAGATCTTACCAGTAAACTCCACCCAAATGAGGAGTACAATTTATCCATAAAAAAAAAATCTAATACATCGTAACATAGGAAGCAAACACAAGAAAACAATCGACAAAACAAATATAACAAGGAAGAAGAAGCAGCTGCGCTTCAACGGAGCAGAATAGATCCGAGGATCCTCCAAAAACCCAAATCCACTGACCAACAAATTTAACAAAACCCTCGCCAAGGGTCATGAAAGCACTCGAAAATAATCTCCAAGCTTCAACTTACATTTAACCGGCCAACACTCATCTCGAGGTCTAACAAGACCATACTTTGCTCGAGCCACCTGATCTCACATATTATCACAACCATTGAGATAACTGCATTATCCTTTTACCTTGTAAGATAATATGAAGATCCTTAATACCCAAACTCGTATCCTTCCAGGAAGAGTAATTGTATTCCGAGCAATCATATGCATATCTCTAAACTTGCATAATATCATTAAGAACAGTAACAGGCAGCCAAGTGATGACCTAAACAAAAAAAAAAATCGGAGAAGAATGAAATTGAAGGCGGAGTAGAACAACCCGACCAACCTGGGACAAAAGGGACCTCTGCCATGACCCAAGACGATCTATCCTTCGATCTACTGATCCTCTTAGGAGCGAGCAATACGGGTGGGGTCCCAATTGCCTTTACATGAAAATTGTCATCACAAACCTTCCTCTTGATCCCCCATGTAACTTATCCAGGGAACAAAAAACCTTAGATTTAGAGATATATTAACTTTCATATTAGTGATTTACTTAAAAGAATTTGAAGGATGATATGCTATAACAATATTTGTTATGATATTATCGACACTAAGAGGGGGAGGGTTCAATTAAATCAACAATATTTTTAAGTAATTTTCAAACTTATCAATTAATAAATATATTTCAAAAACTCAGATTCATCAAGTTAAAATTATAAATAAAATAATAAAATTAAATCATAAGTAAAGGGCCAGTAAAAAGAGACAAATCAATTTGTAGTGGTTCGGTCTTCTCAACCTATGTCCACTCTTTTTTATGATAAAGATCAAAATGGTTTTCTTTTTCTAAGTTAAGGAGATAACATTCACTCTTTCTTTTTTACACAAGATCTCTCACCTATAACCAAATTCAAGATAAAAAAGGAGGAGACTCTAATTATGCTTACACTAAGAGTTTATAATAATTTTTTAGCTCAATAATAGATGTTCCATCAACCAAATCAAAGTGAGATATTTATAAGCTTCAAGAATAGAGCCAAAAATTTGAATACCTAAAATTTCGGGATACAGATGGTACTACCGTCAACACTAGACAGTACTACCATCGACCTATGTTGTATTACTATTAGCCTAGGTGATACTATCGCGAACATAGGAGGTACTAGAAAGATTGATAAAGCGCAAACAGTACTTATCGATTGACCCAAGCAGTGTTATCGTTTGAGCCTGGTGGTACTACCGCCTAGGGTTGGTTTAGGTTACCGATTTGACATTTTAACTGGTCCAATTTGGTTCGAGTTTAGCCCAATGACTTTCTTGATAAGTTGACATGATTTTCACCTAAATATCAATACAAACTGATCCATAATGATCTCAATCAAGACTTTAACAAATTAACTATACATGTGACATATTTATTAAACTTTTGAAACATTGTACACAATTCTGACATATCGTCTGATCTTTCGATACTTTATAGGAACCTCTGACATATCGTCTGATCTTCCGATACTTTATAGGAACATTTGGTACATCATTTTTTCCTTTGCCATATCGCTCATTTCACCAACATGTCAATTTTTTTTATGATATCCAATCTTCCGACGTAATATTCGATCATTTCGTATGATGTTCGAACATTTAACACGAACATTAGTATGCAACGACACTGCATGACTAGCCACGTGGGGAGGTTGACTGAGTCAAATACCCAAATACTATGCAACATGCAAATACATAGATATTACATCAATTTTAGTTATTAAGCCGGCTAGCAATCCAATGGACCCCCGCACCCGGTCAACCAAATCATATTTTGCCATACGAGCTATCATTAACTTACTTTTGGAGATAATGCAAGAATAAATTAGTTATTGGTTGGATAATTTTATGATGATAGTGTACATCATTATATTGCTCGCTATATCGGTACTGCACCAGATTAACATGTAATCAAAATTGAAACGGGAATGGATAAGCACCACCTAGACCTATGGAAATTTAACCTAATATTATATTATCATTGTGTTTAATAAATATATTATCAGTTATCAATGACAAGCAATTTAAAGTTAGTAATTATTTGTAATGGAGTAAAATACCTAGAAACAAAAAAGAATAATCACAATAATTAACAATTAAATAAAAATGGTTCCATAATTTTTACCAATGACTGTAGAAAAGACAATTATCGTCATGTGATGTCAAACTATAAAAACCTCAAGCATAAATTTTCTGTCATACTCTTTCATATAAACTATACATTTTCTCTGTAAATCTTTAAAGTTTCTCCTCATATTCTCTTCAATCAAAAACTACATATACATGAGATATGTATAAAATAAATAAGTCACAATTTTCATGATTCCTTCGAATAAATAATTAAGTGCCAGATTCAGCAAATATTTCATTTATAGATGAAAACCTTGCAACGATCCATAAGAACAAAATTCTATTCTGATACAAAAACAAAAAAAATTTCGCACATGCCATATGAAAATGCAAATCGAACGTTGAACGACTCAAAGCAGCAGGAACAATAAAAATTATAATTAACACCTCTTGATATGTGATATAAAAAAACACCAGCTTGAAATAACCCAATTTTCATTCTACTATGTGAAATATTATCATGAAATATTCTCACCTTTCCAATCGGTAATGCCTTGCAAATTTTCAGCTATGCTGTGAGTCTACAATTCTACTTAAGAATTCAATAAACATATGGTTAATATGGAAAAAACTCAAACTGGTTTACCATTCTTGGTGGAGAACTTTAAAACCTCCCTCCTCCCAGGTACAAGTATGATCAAGCATCACATGAATCTGTATCGAAATTGAATATTAGGCACATCAAAATAGATTCGCTGGTCATATCATAGCTTAGACATCTGATTAATTCAGTAGCTTTGATAAGGATATACTAATTACATGTATGAGAGCTAACATAATTGATTCATTAGCCTTAATAAATTTAACAAGATGAAATTACCAAACCAATTTGCTGTAAACTAAGATATAATGATTTGAAAGAGTTCATATTTTAATATTTACTTACCATAAATAGCTTAGGGTTAGAACCAGAAAAGCTTGGACCATGACTTCAATTTGCTGCCTAGACTAGATTGATTGGAATCCATTTATGTGGCATAACATTATTCATGTGTTGTCAGTTAAATATTTAGTGGTTCAGTCATCTTGATGCTTCTGACATATCTGAATCATGTTATCAATCACATATCAGGGATCTTCAACTCACTTGCAACATATAGATTTGAGAAGATGGATATAGCCGTTGGGTATTAAGCTCGTTGAATCTCATATTTTGATGATGAAATCAATTGAGAGTGTTTATAATTTAATATGCGTTTGAGTAACGCAGGGCTAACATCGATTAGAAAAGGTAAATTTATTAAAGAAGAAGGAATCAGACGTTGGGCTGGAGTAAACATGTTAGAAGATTGGACGTCGGGCCGAAGGAATGGTCAACGTATCGGCAAAAGGCTTCAGGCCGTGAATTTGGGCATCGGGTCAAGAAGATCGAACATTGCACTAAGAAGATCGGATGTTGCGAGAAGATAACATGCTGATTGGGCAATACGTTGAAAGAGTGGACGATGCGCCAAAAGATCGGACGAAGCACCGGATGAACTAATGACATGTCGGACAACAAGAATTCGCTTGTAATCGATTATATTTAGATCGAGTTAGTTTAGAGTCTAATTGAGTTGGTTTAAAATATAATTAAGCCAACTCAATTAGGGGCCAATTGGGCCCAAAATAAGGCTATTTTGGGCCAAGAAAAAGGCCCATTCAATGACCCAAAAGTTAGGTCCGGCGGTGGCACCATCGGTGGCTCAGTCTACGAGGCATAGTCTCCGAGATTGTATCAGGAGGTGGTACTGCTAGTTTGGGTGGTA